TTAAACATTCAACTAAACTTCAGAATCTTGAGACTGAATAGATTCATTGGATGAATCTTCAGAATCTTCGTCAAACTCGCCAACTTCTGCCTCTGCCTCCGAGTATACAACAGCATCATCTCCAAAGTCCGTAAAATCTACAACGAGCTCAACCTCCATATACTCTACCTCTTGGGTTGATTGACATCACTGTTATCCATGGATTTCCGACGGTTTTTTAAAATACCAACAGCTATATAAACGGTCATATTCTTTTTGCAACGGGTAGAATATTTGTCGGAATTGCGTCGGGGTTTACCGACGCATTTCCGACGACCCCAACGGTCAAATAATTTTATCGGCATATCGTCGGAATTTCGTCGGAATATTCCGACGAACGTATTTTGTCGGGAATCCGTCGGAAATTTCCGACGAAATTCCGACGACTTCGATTTTGTGGTTTTCGTCGGTATGTCGTCGGAATATCGTCGGCATTTTCCGACAACCTAAGTTTCCGTCGGAACGTTCGTCAGGATTTCCAGTGTTTTCTTGTAGTGATAAAACAATAAAACTTAAATTGTGTGTGATAAATAATAGTTTTGTTGTCTTCGATTGATCTTTTTTCTCCTTGTATGTCTACGAGTTGTAATAACTATAATAATGATCATTGTGAAAATGTGTTTGTGTTTTAACTGTCTCTGCCAGATTTTTAATTACAATCAATCAAACGATTTTTTTGTCATATAAAGACATTGTTGTTACAGAGTCAGACAGATTTTAACTAAAAGATTTGAAGATTGACAAATAAAACGAGCTTAACAGTAATGTAAACGAGCTTGTTCAGATGCTAGATATGAGATCCTCTTATTAAACTAGAGGCTTCCAATAATGGGTTTCTTGGGATAACGTTCCATGCATAACAATCTCACACACACACACACAGTTGTCCGTTGATTACGAAGCTGGATCAAAAACATGCAAACAAAGAAAATGAAGAACAAAAAAAGAGGTCCTACCGGGAGTCGAACCCAGGTCGCTGGATTCAAAGTCCAGAGTGCTAACCACTACACCATAGAACCAAGTTGTATATTAAAATGCATTAATCATTATAACTCAAATCAAGTATCTACGACATCACAACATAGTAACATACACACAAAACTCACCTTGAAATCTGTAGTAACACCATATCATTCAAGTTGTGAAAAAACACACATCAATCATTAACCAAAGATCCTCTGCATACACTATATCATTAAACTACGGAACCAATTCAAAATCTGCAAATGGAACATACAAAGAGGTGTTAACTCTTTTTTAACCTAACAGATTCTTCTCTTGCTACTACCACCAAAGTTAAGCTAAATCACCAAATGAATCCCATCTTTACTTCGAGTGAAGACTTTAGCAAATCCATTCCGGTTCTTCTCAGAACTCCCTCTGTTTGATGAAACTTGCGTCAAAGCAGCATCAGAAGATGTTTCTTTGGTTGCTTTGATGGACTCAAAATGATTCCTCGACATGTAAGTATCATTCTTGTGTACTCTCCAACTCTCTGTGTTGTTGCTGCAGCTGCTTACACCATTTGTAGTAGCCACTTGAATGCTCGTTGTATCAACCAAGAAGTCTTCAAGTGTTGCAAGAGACTGTAACTGTTTCCCCAAAGATGCTATTGTTTTCTGACAGTTCGCTAGTTTCCCTGCAGCTGTTGCCATGTCTTCCTGAATTTGCATTATCAAAAAGTTTAATAAAGAATTGAGACTCTTAGCAACACTAATGTAGAGAGATATATAGAGAGAGAGACCTGTTTTATCTTTGGTGGTTCTATAGCGGTTTCTTGATGGAGGGTAGTGACTTCTTCTTCAAGTGCCTCACATTTTCTTCTTAGCTCATCAGAAGCTAACCTCTCTCTCCTCACCTCTTCTTCCAGTGACTCAATCTTTGCGTGATTACACTCTGCCTCTGCTTCCATTGATTCGATTTGTGATTCAACTTCTGTTTTTAGTTCATTAGCTAGTTTCATCTCTCTTTGGATCTCCTCTAGCTTTGTCTCAATATCTTGGAGACAAACTTGAGATTCTTTGTACTTGTCTTTGATTATGTCGTAAGATATCTGCAGCTCAGCTTTCTCAACCTCCATCTTCTCCAACTTGTTTTCCACCTCCACTTTAGCACTAACTATGGCTTCAAGCTCAAGTTTCAGTGTGCTCTCCACTTCTCTATGCTCATCTTTCTCCGCTTCTAACTTGTTTAACTTCTTTTCCAGCTCCACTTTATCACAAACCATAGCTTCAAGGTCAAGTCTTACTGTGCTGACCACTTCTTTTTCACTTTTAACTTTGCTTTCTAGCTCTTCTCTCTCTGCTTCTAACTTTTCCAACTTACTTTCTAGTTCAACTTTATCACAAACGATAGCTTCAAGCTCAAGTCTCAGCGTGCTCTCCACTTCTCTGTCACTTTCAACTTTGCTTTCAAGCTTATCTTTCTCCACTTTCAACTTCTCCAACTTACTTTCCAGGTCCACTTTCTCACAAAAGATAGCGTCCAGCTCAAATCTCAGTGTGCTCTCCACTTCTCTGCAACACTTAACTTCACTTTCAAGCTCATCTTTCACCGCTTCTAACTTCTCCAGCTTTTCTTCAAGTTCCTTATTTCGGTAAGTCAATGCTTCTATCTCAGCAACCAACGAGTTATCTGTGTGAACAACAGCTTCTTCTGTGACAGATTCAGGCTCACTCTTACCATTACCATCCGGTGTCTCAGGCAAAGCTACAAGACGTTCCATCTCAAGAAAATCACCCATGAGATCAATCTCAATGGAAGAAGAAGTTCCCTGAAGGCTTCTCTTTTCAATCAGCATGGATGATGCTCCTCCTGACTCAGAGCAACTCGCATCTGAATGACTATCCGTAGACCTATGATCATTAAATGAAGATTTAGACAACATCGTCCTAAGCTTCCTACACTCAGCTTCAAGTTTAGCCACTTTCTTTATCACATCCAACTGCTGCTTACTAGCGGTTTCAGCTGCTTGTGTGCTCAAATCTCTCTCAATAGTTCTGATCTCTAGCTCCTCGCAACGAGCAATAAGCTCGTGTCTCAGCATCACGTTCTCTTTGGCAACAGATTCAGCCATTTGAGCAAGCTCCTCAGACTTGGTTGCAGCTTCAAAAATCTCCCCCTCGAGGTTGGCTTTAGAAGCTTGCAACTCATGTGTTCTCCCGGTCACAGCATCTTGAACTCTCTGCTCTTGTTCATCTCTTGCTTGACGTAACTGTCTAACACACTCCTTAAGAGCTCCATCGAGATGGCTTACTCTATCTTCCAACTCTCTATTCTTGTCTTCAGAAGCGTCAAGCTTCTCTTTCAACTCAACCACTTCATTCTCAGCTTTCTCCCACCCTTCACAATTAAACATATTATTCATTCACCAGAATCCTAATCCAAAACCAAGAGAAATGAAAAGGTTTTGATGATACCAGCAACAGCTTCTTCAGCTACTTTGACATGTTGGTTCACCAGATCATCTTTAGCATTCACATTAGCAAGAGCAGCTGAAAGCTTCTCAGTTAAAGTCCTGATGCTATCTTTCAAATCTTCATTCTCAGTTTCAACTTCAAGAGTAGAAGCCTCCTCAGGTTGTTTTATCTCCTCATCATGAGACTCCATTGTGTTCTCAGGCTTCAGAGAAAAAAAAAACAATCAGTCATCACAATCATCATTATAGATACAAACAATGAAGTAAAAAACTAGTCGTGTGGTGTCTCACTTGAATGTCAGATTGTGAAGAGACTACAGACTCTGATTCACCAAAGCTTCTCTCAGATGACTCACTCTTCCCTTTCTCCATTACAACATAACACACAGTCACAGGATCTGAAGAGAGAAGAGAAACACACACAAAACTTTGATTCCTCTAGACAAATTTTAGAAAGCAACAAACTTTGAGATGATGTATTAAGGACTGAGCCAACCAAGTAACATGCAAGAGAAGAAAAAAATCTAGAACAACCCAATCATTAATTTCCCAAAGAAACTAACTTTGTCTTTTATCATAACAAATGTCCGTTTCATAATAAATAAATAAATTAAAAATCTAACAATACAGAAAAGCTACATGACAAATACTCTTTACCTTGAATTTGAAATCATCTTCAAAAAAAATTGAATTTTTAAAAAAATTCTAATGCATTGCTTGAAGTTGAATCATCTTCCAAAAATCACAGCTTTTGAGATAACATTTGCTTTTAAAAAAACAGTTCTTTAAAATCAGCTGAAACTAGAGCATCACATCAAAGAAGTAGACAGTGTTGATTACATTCAATCAAGTTGCTTAAGTTTTCAAACATTTGGCACTAACAAAAGGAAGAGAGAATCTTACAAAAGAGACCACCTTTGTCTGAAGAAGCTTTGAGATCCGATAATGTCACCAATGGAAACAAAAAAGATCAAAACTTTTTCTTCTAATGTCTGCAAGTAACTACACTGTTACGATTTTTAACAGCTACAAGGCGCAGGAGAGAGAGATAGAGAGAAAGAGAAATATAATTCTCCTATCTTTGTTTTTTGCTATTTTTAAATTTTCTTATTTTGAAAACAATTATTTTTTTCTCTTTAATTCAAAAGAGAGAGAGCATGTGATCTTCTGTATGTGGAGCTGTGTACTCAAGCATTTAAATCTAACTTTTCAGCTTTATTTTTTTATTTATTTTAAATTTGGAATAGTATATTATATGTATAATAAATGTCTGAAGAAACCTATTTTGCAAAAAATTAAAATAGTACTAATATAAGTACTCAGTATTTCATTCTTCTTTGATTTCAAAAACTTAACTTGCTAACAGTTCCCGCCTGTGATTAAACATACACATTTATTAACTTTTTCGTCGCCATTTGCAATAAAGTATTTTTGAGACTAAATACATATTTTTCTTGTTGAAATTGAACAATTTGATATCTCCCTCTAGTGAAAATACTATTCACGCTACTGTATTATATTTTCAAATTAAAAAGTATTATTTTTATCAATATATTATCAAAAATTATCGAATTTAGAAAGCAGCTGCACGGTTTTGAGTTTAAGGATGTTTTTAATGGAAAAGTTAAAAGTTAAGTACATGGGATTAAGAACCGACGCTAGCCATCGGATTCCCTGACAAATCAGTGAGATACACAATTTATCCGACGGCTGAGATTACTCCTCTCACCTGCTTTAATTCCCTTCGTCTTCTACGACCATTATTTACTCTTTTTATTTTCTATAATAAATGATTAATTTATACACTTATTTCAAAATTTACTATAATTAACTCCTTTCTGTTCTGCTAATTTATTTTTATTAATCGTTAGTAGTAGTAGTTGGTACGATGGCTTTATCTTCACTCCAAACCACTATTAATAGTCTCTTTTATTGTCGTTTATTACATATCTCGAGTCTCGAGATAACATTTTGTTTAGATACCATAGCTTCGCTGTTTCATACAACGATTATTCGGCTTCACGACATAATGGATTAAGACATGGCAATGATTTGACTTGGTTTGATAAAGACCCATTAATTTTTATGGGCTTTAGGTTCAAAGCCTTGAGATTGTTGGGGGAGTCTCCTCAGACAAACAACAAAGAGAAAGACAGGTAGGTTGTGTTTCAGAGACCCGGTGAAGTTGAACTATGAAAAAAACATCTTAAAATGGATTATGTAAATGGGCCTATCGGCCCAGAGTAGCCTGAGAAAATGACTTGATGATTAACAAGACCCAAAATATCCTCAGCTTCTTCTGTTCAGCCTATCTTGATTCTTGACATATGTGTGATAAAATCATCATGCATGCAAGGGTAGTATTGCAGCCTAAGTAGTGTCCAGATAAACTATTATTTACTACTATATTATGTTTGTGTAAATTAAACTTGATAGGAAGAAATCATTGGCATTGAACGCCAGTTACAACGAAAATAAGAAATTATTGGCACTCAGACGATCGCTAAAATTGTAATAGTTGTTTACATCTTGGCTTGAAAACTCCAACTTGTCTTACATTTTACCCCATCGTAGCTAGCTACTTGTTAAGTCAAAGTTAGTATTCATTGCTTACACTATGCAAAAGGTAAACCAAAACTTGCTGCCTACTTTATTCATGATATTTTCCCTATCTTATTGTTCACACAAAGTGAGACGAGCAGATGGTTTGACCACGTCAGTCAAAAAACACATTATTGAAATGTCATATGCAGGAACAATGCATGTTAAAATCGGTGTCAGGTATATAGTTTCATGTATACAATTTCGTATATAAACATCATGCATTTTGGTTGTGAAAATGTGCATATGAAGCTGGTTAAGATTTATAATTATACAAATTCAAAGCAATTCAATAGCAGTAAATAGACATTTGGATTGCCGGTTCCTTTTAAAATTTGGCTGCCAAACCTATTTCGTAAAACTCAAAAGGATATTTCGTAAATTAAACCTTTTAACAAAAAAAATAAAATAATAATTTCGTAAAAAATTCTCAGTATACTCCTGCATGCGTATCTTTTCATGCTTACAAAAGAACAAACTAAAACATAATATATTTTTTTTTTTCAAATTAAAATATGCATGCTTGAGTAGCTTGGTCCATAATAACTTTTAACTTAACGTGGAACTGCTATATAAGTATATCGTCGGTGGTTTTATAGTATAGATTCCCAAATCAGTTTCTTATTAATATTTTGAATTACTGTTCAATTGCAAACAATTAAACAATTAGTATATGACGTTGCAAGAAAAACTTAAATTAACCAAAAAAGAAAAGATTTAAGAGATGTGGAAATTTTGCCAAAAGATAAAATGAAGTAAAGTTTTGAAAAAAATGAAAGTTGACTCAACCTTCATATAATATGGAAAATACAATTTCCTAATATTTTTACTCTCTTTACTTCATTGTCACCTTTACATTTTTACTTTAACCGAATACTCAAAATAAAATTACCCAAAAAAAAGAAGAGAATATTCTGATTACAATAAAAGGAATCCTACGGAAGAGCAAAAACATTATTTTCATGGCATAAAGAGAGAAAGATAGAGACAGACGTTTGAGATTTGATGAGCTGAAGAGAAGAAGAGAACTCGAAACAAATTCACATGGAACGAGAAGGAACCCTTCACTGCTACCGTTACCTTCTCCACTCTCATTAGGGCTTCCTCCTCCTCCTCCTCCTTCTCTATTTAGCTGCCGCAGCTCTCGCTCTCGCTTTCTCACCGATTCACTTCCCAAAAACTCGTAATCTTCTTCTGGGTTTCCTTAATTTCTCGATCTGATTCCGAAATTCATAAACTTTTCTTCTGGGTAGAGCGAAAGATATCAAATTTGAGAGAAATGGAAGAAGGAAGCGTGTTCAGATCTCTACTAGCGATTCTCCAGTGGTGGGGTTTCAACGTTACCGTCATCATCATGAACAAATGGATCTTTCAGGTAATTCAATCTGATGATCTCTGTCTTTGTAATCTAATCATTTGATGTAATAAAGTTCGTAACTTTGTGATGTTTTGATGCAGAAACTGGATTTCAAGTTTCCGTTATCGGTTTCGTGTGTTCACTTCATATGTTCATCGATTGGAGCTTACATTGTGATCAAAGTCCTAAAGCTTAAACCTTTGATCCTTGTTGAGCCTGAAGATCGATGGAGGAGGATCTTCCCTATGTCTTTCGTCTTCTGTATCAACATTGTCTTGGGGAATGTTAGCCTTCGTTACATTCCTGTTTCCTTCATGCAGACTATTAAGTCTTTTACTCCAGCTACTACAGGTTAGGGTTTGAGATTGATGATCTTTGTATGGTCTTGGATCTCATGAGAATCTGATTTGTGTGTTTTGTTTGTGTTTGAGTAGTTGTGTTACAGTGGCTTGTGTGGAGGAAATACTTTGACTGGCGTATTTGGGCGTCTCTTGTCCCTATTGTTGGAGGGATTCTTCTGACTTCGGTTACTGAGCTTAGCTTTAATATGTTTGGTTTCTGTGCTGCCTTGTTTGGGTGTTTAGCTACTTCCACTAAGACCATTCTTGCTGAATCTCTTCTCCATGGTTACAAGTTTGACAGGTCAGCTCTCTTCCTGGCCTCTCCTATATGATTAGTGCTTCTTGTTGTATCCTTATTTGGAGTGATTTTACCTATGTTGCATTAGATCATCATTTGATGCTATTTGTGGTATTCGTTATGTAGCATAAACACAGTATACTACATGGCGCCTTTCGCCACCATGATTCTCGGTTTACCTGCATTACTACTGGAAGGAAACGGAATCTTGAGTTGGTTTGATGCACACCCATCTCCCTGGTCAGCACTCATCATCATCTTCAGTTCCGGTGTGTTGGCCTTTTGTCTCAACTTCTCCATCTTCTATGTCATTCACTCTACAACCGCAGTCACATTCAACGTAGCTGGAAACCTCAAGGTAATAAAAGACAAATCTTAAACACTGTTACTAAGCTCTTGAGCATGGTTTATAATCTCTATATTTTGTGCAGGTTGCGGTGGCTGTATTAGTGTCATGGTTGATATTCCGTAACCCAATATCGTATATGAATGCTGTTGGATGTGGGATTACGCTTGTGGGCTGCACATTCTATGGATACGTGAGGCATAAGCTTTCTCAGCAGCAGCAGCCAGGAACTCCTAGGACTCCTCGTACACCAAGAAGCAAGATGGAGTTACTTCCTCTTGTTAATAATGATAAACTCGAAGGCAAAGTCTGATCTCAGTTTCAGTATCCACTCTGCAGAAGAGAGAAGAAGCATTACTACATATGCATTTTACTCAAAACAAACCGTAATAGAGAAAAGTAACATTTTGATTTTTCGTTTTGTTTTTGGCTTGTAGAAGAGATAATGGTTCATCTTATTTATATGTAGAATCTTTAATTTATCGAATATATTTTCAGAAAACATACATAGAGAGTGTATATAAATAAAGGAACTATGCACTAAGGTCATGCCTAAAGCAAGGGTCGAACTCTAAACTCTGCTAGGTTATTGCTGAGCAAACAATGTTTAAAACTCTTCCTTAGAGCGTTCCTAATTTCTATACAAACTGAAACTGCTGCTTTATTCATCTCTTCTATATGTGTTGTGTTGACCAATGAATGCAATATCTTCTGAGGATAAATCCACTGAGAGATAATGTCTAGCTTCTCTTGACCTGAATCAAGGAGAAGTGGAGATTAGAAGAGTAATAATCATTCGTACTCAGAAACTATGGTGAACTTATTGGTACTGACCTTCGCCGTCTGGTTGTCTCCATGGCTCCAGATACATTAGAGGGATCAGCTCTTGCAATCTGCCCTATAAATGAAGCATATTCATGGAAAGCCCTTCCTTTCAATGATCTTGGAGGGACTAATGACTCTAATATGCCGGAAAGCTCTACCATTCGCTCACTGCATTCGGAAAAAAAAAAGCAGCAACTCAGATACTAAGACAGATGAGCTTATCAGCAAGAAATTTGCAACTGCAACAGATAACCACAGTGAAAGTGATATGTTATTCATTAATGGGTCAACTATGTTGGGAGGACAATATTACCTTTTTAATACGGTTTCTGGTTTCATATCCAAGCACCCTCCACTGCTCGATGTGTAGTCCTGCATTGTTGCTGATGAAGTAGGGACGGATCCTGTTGTAGCGATTTGGTTTGTGAAAAAGTTAAATCCTTTATGTGCCACAATGGAAGTCATCTGTTCAAGCACATGAGCTAGACCAGACGTGTCAAGATCTCCAGAAGTGTTCATCATTGGCTCCATCGCAACCTAAAGACGTGAACTCCATAAGTTAAAAATGTCTGAGCTGACAACTGTGATCTAGAAAGAGAGAAATATAAAGTGTAAATGTAATTACTCACAAAGTTCAGGCATCTAGAGTGCGTGAGATCAGCTTCTGAAATTAGGCTGGTTATCTGATGAGTGATGTCGAGAACTTGTGGAGCTTCTACAGGTTCTGAATCCAAGTATGTCTTCAGATCAACATGGCTCGAACAAAGTTTTTTCCATGATTCTTGCACAGTATCAAGCTTCGGTTTTTGAGCGGCCTTGAATGTCATACCACAATCTATACGGCTGCATTCATCTGTTGCCTGTTGCATCTTCTGGGAACTCTCTGCATATTCCTTAAAACAATCTTCCATCATTGTCCCATCAGAAGATTGTGCAATGATCTCACACGTACTCATTAAGCGATCAAAACTCTGTAATTTGTCTATGTGTATCTCTGCTGATGGGGAGTTCTGTACATCGTCTTCACTCGTGGACGCTTCAACTCTTCCATTAAAATGACCACATGATACTGCTCTTGGTGACAGCTCAGCTTCCCCATCCATTATAGTTTCTGGAACATATGAAGATTCTGGTACACGTGATATGTCACTCAGACGTTCATCTTCCGAATCAGAGGACATCACAACATTGAGCCTCCTTCTTCTGTTTGGCCGAGAGAGAGACAGTGGCTGGGAAGAGTTGTCGGTAAGTTCAGATGGAATACTTAACACGTCATCTAATTCATCATAATTCTCAAAACAAGTGTTCAGCCTTAACATGGCTGCTTTCTTGGCTTCTATTGTGTTCTTTTCTGTGCCCCGCCTCCACAGTCTATTAAGCATTTTCTCGTTCTCAACCTCTTCAACAAATACTTCAATTGTGTTATAACTTTCCTCTGCCATGGATAATGATTTAGCAATCTCACTATCCACAAACTGCGATAACTGAGAAGGAAAATCCTGTGCAATTATCTTGGGAAGCAGCACGTGACCAGCTTCATGATCAAATCGATCTGGATCACCAGTGTTCTTGGCCTTTCTAACTGTAAAATGTAGAGAGATCCAACGTTAGAAACAGTATAAATAGCTAAATAGTGTCCACGCCTAGTCTTAAGATAGTGAAACTATGGAGGCTAAAATAAGTTTTCTATGTAATAATAAAAGTCTAGAATACCTCTTTTGGATTTACTCTGAAACCAAAATTGCAATTGCATAATCGCTTTCCGTATATCACCACCACTAAAGATAGTCAATCGCTCTAGTGAATCAGGATTAACTTTAACCTCCTCTGCTGCACAAACCTGTGTGAAACAACAAATGTAAAGAAGAATCCAATTAACAATGAAAGGTTATGCGTCAGAATATATACCGTAGAAAGGTGGCTGAACAGCTCTTTTGTTGATGGCAAAGAAAAGAATGTCTCTATCCTCTCCAGGTTGTTTGGTAAACCATGATTCTTGTCTGTAAATAACCATGTAATACAGATGACATCAGTATATTAATTAAGATATGCTACAAGTGAGAAAAAACAAGAATTATTTTTATAAATGATGAATGTTACCATTGGCAGTCAATACCACAGGCCCTTTTGCTTTCTCAGCAATATCCTGGATAGCAGATATGAGACCACGATCATCAGCAAGGGAAATATCTACATCCTCAAAAAGAATTAAAGGCTTCAAGTTGGCTCTGTCATTCTGGCTCTGTAATACAGGTTCCACTTCAATCACATCTACCTCATTGCCATCAGTACAGGAATTGAAAAGAGGTTCCAAGGACCTGCCGTAACAAATGGTGTGAATATAAACACAAAATCCTTGAGTTCGCATGCACCGATAGAATTGCAGAAACTAGCAAATCCAAGCATATACATAAACTGTGGTAACTCTATATACCTTGATAGGCTATTTGACTTGAGAGCCTCCCCAAATTTCTGCTTAACAATTGCTCCACTTCGACATTCTGATGCATTAGACTATAGACAAAAGTCATTAGAGACATTCATTTTGCAGTAGCTAGACACTATCAGTTACATTTAGCGGAAAATACGTTCTTACCTCAAGGATTTTAAATCCTTGTTCCTTAGCACATGCATAAACAGCTGCAGATTTCCCACTCTGCAAGACATGAACAATTATAAGAGTTCATACATGGAAACTCAGAAAGCAATGTGAAGCAAAAACAGTTCGTGACAGAATATCTTATTACACACCCCAACTGGACCAACGATTAAGAGAACATTTTTCAGGCAGTCTTCAGCACTAGTGTTTTCTGAGTCAGAATCACTTCCAGAACAGTTGTAGTCAGAATTCTGCGATTTCTCTGCATCACTCATCAAAATGTCTTGGCTTGCCTGAAAGCCTCTCTCACGCCATTGGCACATCCATTCATTCATTAGTTTCACAGCTTCAGTATTACCACATACCTGCAACAACACGGGTTAAAAATAGGAGAAACTTGTCTCTGTTGCTATCTTTAACCATATTATACCAGAAGATATAAACATGCATTTTGGTTTTCAAATTTCTAACCTCCGAGGCACTTCTCGGCTGGTACTTATCTACCCACAAGCTACTACGAGACAGGCCGCTGAAATAATTATTGCATAGATTAGAAAATTATGATCAGTCATGTGTTCTGCTATAGATATCAAACCATGCAAGTACCTTTCTCGTGTTGCATCAGCTGATTGAGTAGCACATTGTTCAGGCTCTTCATCATCGATGATGCACACGTCAGAGTGTAAAAGAGTTGCTAGTTCATTTAGATCAACTTCTTTGAGTCCGAGTTTCAGAGAGTCGGATTTTATTTGTTCTCGAGGACTCCAAGTGGTGGACGCATGCTCAACAAAAGTCCAGTTCTTCCAATCAATGGTCCGATAACCATCCTAAAAGAAGAAACTTTGCTTTTATTAGTTAACATAATCGAAGTAAGCTACAAGTATACCTATACAACATACCTGTAACCTCTCAAATACATGGATAGGTCCAATGGTGACAATTTGATCCTGACAAGTACCATTCTCTACTGCAGCAGCTGTTTCTTGACTCTTTTTACCTCCTTTCCTTGATGAGAAAAACGGATGTAACTGCTTGCCAGCAGACATCCTCGAATCTTCCTGATCAAAACAGAAAACAATAATCTCAGTCCAAAAGGCGCACAAATTGGAGCTACTTCACATTTGAGCAAAGGCTGACTTACCTCAGCTCGTAATTTTGCTTCCAGCCGCAAATTAGGAACTTGAGGAGATACATATGTTTGATCATCAGCAGCAACAGCCCCGTTTCTAGTTGTATTTTTCTTAGGCGTTGATTTACGAGGCGACTTTCCTTTAGCCATCTTCATCAGCAAACATTAAGAGTCAAACATTTTACTAATTCATCCTTCTACCTACTAAACTCTGCTTCATAAGCCTATAAAGCCTTATCTATTACAATTAATAAGGAAGCAACCTTCTTGGAAGCTCCGTTCTTCTTCGGAGTCCTCTGTTTCCTCGTCTTCTTCCCTTGACTGCTACAGAAATCTCCATCTCCATCTCCATCGGACTCAATCATCACATCCTCGGGTTTACGCGGGAGGAGCGTCGACTGGACCAGTTTACGACGGACGCTCCTACGTGGAGTCTGGATCGCCGTCGCGGCAACACCGTCTCTCTCGCCTGATTCGTCCATCAGGTTTTGAAATTCGAGAAATCAGAGGTAGTGTGGAATCTAGGGTTTAGGGTGTGTAGATTTGGGGATCTGATCTTTTGGTAAAAAGATGAAAAATTATAACGTGGAAAGGTTTTGTGTTTTGGAGGGGAGATGATTTACGTTTTACTTTTTTCCCGCTAAACTTCACAAAAGTGAATAACTTTTAGCTCGTGAAGAAGAAAAATTGATACTTGGGCTTTTTTTAAGTGGGCCTTGATTGGAAGTGGTATTTCTTCTCTCGAAGGCTATTAGGCTTTTAAGTGGGCCTTAATTCAGAGAACTTAATTTACCAATACCAGGTTACCTTTGAATCCCTCTTTAACCGGTGGAAGGTAAAATTGCATATATTCACACAATTCAAATGCAAAAGAAGTTTCACGTATTTGACCCCAAAACGAGAATTTTCATGTGTTTATATCTAAAATGAATTACACTTGTATAATTTCGCCCGAGATGCACTGGCTTGGCTTCAGCATTTACTCATTTTGGAAGCTCGACAATAATGAAAGTTGGTGAGATTTTCTTCCTTTCTCCATGTTTGTGCGGTGTCTATTGACATCTTATTTAATTTCTTGTTTTCTGCTTTGTATCACAACGATTATTTCTACTTGTTCAAGTGTTATAAAAAAAAAAAAAATTAGTAGTCGAATGTTTTAATATTTATTTGTTTGCTAGATAAACAGTATTAATGAGATAATCTATTATTAAAAAAAATTACTAGTCGAATGTTTTAATATTTATTTGTTTGCTAGATAAACAGTATTAATGAGATAATCTATTATTAAAAAAAATGAAAACAGTGATATTCTATAAATTTTCTAACTAGACTATAAATTCGTTTGAGCAGAACTAAAGAAAATTGAAATAAAAATTAGAATATAGATAAGGAAACCTTACTTAATAATATGAGCGTCCCCTACCATAATGATGTAACCCAGTTATATCTACGTTCCTAGAAATTTCTCGATCCTCAAGTACGATAAATTTATTATGCGTGTCTAGAAATTCAATAGATTGGATATCACGTTATATATTATTAGGCTCTAGGTAGCCCTACATTAATTATTTTATTTTCTTATCAAACTCCTATCCTACACCTTCTTCGAAATTTCTCACGCCAAAGCCGTACCATCTTACCAATTTTTATAAATAATAAAATAACTATGCATGTAGACATATCTTTATGTGTTCTATATACAATATTCATAGGCAACTCGAGATATTGTTTTTTTGATTATTTGATATATATCGAAGATATTGTTAGATAACATATTATCATATATGTAATGGGAAAGGTCATCTCTTTGTTTAGTTGTTGGGAAGGTACAGAGGAGGGGGTACGGTGCCATCGTGTCAGTTAGGCCCCCTGGTATGGGCTACCGAGTAACCAATACATATACTGTATTGTAAGTTTCGAGAAAATTAAACAATATACTATTTGTAAATTCCATATTATATAATTTTATTTTGTAAATTACGAATTATCAAATGTGGGGTATAGTCTAATAGTGCTACTGCTACCTCCTTGATCCATCCCAAAAAAAAAGTTAATCCTTTAATAGATGAGTAGTAAGGCAATTTTTCCAAATGCTGTTTTCATGAATTTTTGATTGTGTGTTTGCAAACAACTGAAACGGTAGATTCACAACTCTGTGCTACTTCATGTCATGTTAACTTAGAAGCGTGAATTGTGAAATGGGTCTTGCTTGTAATTGTGGTAGTGGAATTTTCAGAGTGCATCCTTTCAATTAAACACACAGACTTTCAGATGCTAATACTAGAGAACATGCATGAACTTTACGGTTATCTGTCGAGCATAAAAGGCATGAAAACATACACCATCAACATGTCAAATCATTAAAAAAAAATTCATGATACGTGAATATGATTATAGTTTAATTATAATCTCTCTCTTTTTATGTAAAAAAAATTATATTTGAATATATAAAGACTTGTAAATGAATATATATTCACAAGTTATAAAACTCATCAACTATAGTGGATTGTCTATAAGTGGGATTTGATTTTAATATACGGGGCTGAGGCTCATGCCTTATTTTTACAAAGGTAAGCACGACTCTGGTCATATGCCGGCTCATGGTCGAGAGAGAGACATTATAAATAAAATATCGAGGTACCTTAATTAAAACCTTTTTTAATGTTGCTCAAAAAAAAAAAAACTAAAGATCATGCATATGAAAAAAAAAAACTTATACAGAAAAATAAGGATCTCCTTCGATTTGATGAACATATGTACTCGTTTCTATAAACAAACAACCCAACTAGCTATCAAAATATATAAGAAAGGAAAATGATAACTTGGATACGTGTATGTACTGGTGTATGAGGGACACTAATCTATATGTAAGATGAAACATATTTTAGGATACTGATTTATTTTTTCCAATGTTCAGTGTGCAGTGTGCACCAGTTTTTTTTTATATTTTTTTGACAAAAATGCAGTTTGCACCAGCACATTAATTACATATTTTATTGTAATTTATATTTTCAGCATATCTCTATTTAAATATATATATATATGTGTGTGTGTGTGTGTTGCATAAGAATTTTCCGTATAGTTGACCCCAAAAACAAAACTGTTTGTATACCAACTTTACATCCAAATGTTTTAACTATACCACACATGAAATCACATATATTAAAAAAATTCACATATTCTGTAAAATCATTGGCATTCACTATATTACCCTAAGTACCGTCATGGTTATGAATTTTCTTCGTCTATATATTTTAAAATTCAAAATATTTGGATTAGGTAGTTGCAAAAACGAATACACAAAAACATAAAGATGTAAAGTAAATAAAATTAGTGTCTGGTAACAATGGAACTATGGAAGAAGCCTCGATGATGCCCTTTCTCAGGAAAAAAAAAAGGCTCGACATGCTTTATTTTCTTCATGCAAAAAAAGAATATTATTTGCTGGAAAGCTGGCAAAAACCGCCTCTCTTTGACCTTTACGGGTTTGCTTAGGACCAAAGTGTGAAATGTACAATGGAAGACAAGTCTCATAAGTCATAATTGAGCCACCTTAAGCCTTTGTGAGAAAGTGGAACATGTTCCCAAAAAGAACATGCCGTCTCTCAACTCTTCTATCATGTGCTCTTGCGTGTCTAAAGTCATACTAAGGTTTGGTTTGGCTTTTGCCAAAAATACACATGCTTCTTTTGAAATCATTATCTTACTTTAGGATCTATCTACACATCTCCATATACCCACATGCATGCACGATATTATTGTGGTATCTAACACTTTTTTAAGTAAAAAAGAGCTTCTTAAACCAGAAAATCTAACCTAAATTTGAAATATATGTAGTTATTACAAAAAAGAACAAAGAGCAAAGTTAACTTAAAGTAACTTTGGCTTAAATATAGTGTCTATTGGTTGAATCAAATAGTTTTGTTACGTTGATAAATATCAAAGATAGTACTTATGGACCATCAGTAAACTCACACCACAATTGTATACGGATTCTTTTACCAATATCTCGAGTTCTCGACCTATACCTTTGTCTATGTGTGTAAGAAGTGTTTAATAACGTATTAATAAATAAATAAAAGTTTTCAGTGAATAAACAATAAATAAATGATACTATTGTTTTTTAAAACCAAAAACCAAAAATAAAATATGAAACGCGGTTTTGTGCAGCAGCTAGACAGAGTGTATACAGCTGTTGTTTGAAGTGACTTCACTCACTTCAGACCTTCACCAATATCGATCTTCACTATTTGGCTGCGTGTTTCCATTCCAATTCATATTTTTTTAAACACGATTATGAAATATCTTATTATAGTACTTGCTTAATTGTCTAGGCCTTTTAAAATAAGCGTTTAGGTTTTCTTTTAGTTTATCATTTTTTGTGAGACCTAACATGTTACTTCACGAAGCTGCCTCCCTTTGGCCCTTCATATCAGAATCCTATGCAGTTTATATACTATATATATGTATTCCCCTTTTGGTTTATTATTTCTTTATTAACTTCATTTCTCAATCATTTTTCTCTTTCAGTAAAATCAATATTTTTTACAATTTAACCATAGTCAATGTAATAAGTATTATGAAAACTTGTTATAGAGTAAATATCATCATGGTGTGAAGAAGTGGCCTGTGAAATGGGATGCAAGTTAAAAAGTCACCGAACATGTCTTTTTAAAAACAATAACTAGTGCATTTGTCTGCATGATATATGTTATTATGTTAGGACTTTTTTTACCACCAGTTGATTAAAGCATGATGTAAATTGAAACATAAAGAATGCTAATTAACTCGTTTAGTAACATAGACCAATGAGCAGGTTTAATTAGTCACTTTCTTCGAAAGATCGTAGGATTTGAGACATTCAAACGCAGCTGTGATTTGCATTTCAAGAAAGTGATAGCGATAAAAACCACAACGTCAATTATTTAAAGTAATCCTCGATTTCTTCACCAAGTGGATTCCGTACAGCTATATGTACATGCTTCTATGTAACCCATATATACATATATACAGTAACCTTCAAATGTAACAAATAAAGTAGTATTCGAAGGAAAATAAACATCTAAATTCTCATATTATATTTGACCAAAAAAAAATTCTCATATTATTAACCAGTTAACATAATCAATCTTACTATATATACAGTATTACCTTTATAATCACTCTTACTTTATATACAGTATTGCCTTTTTCCTTTTATAAAACCAAAAGAAATTGCAACAAACATATATATATATATATATATATATATATAAACAAATCATATTTTAAAATATGATATATTACTTACATATTATACAAACAAATATAAGAAACAATATCTGACATATCCATTTGTGAATATGTGGGCGAAGAAAAAAAATATTAATAAAAACACCTGTCATGCACCAAAAACGTCACATTACACAAAAAAAATCCTGTAATTCAATTGACCAATTTTTATTTATAAAATAAACCATTATTGTCTCCTCTCCAAATCAGTACATTGCTATATATAATCTCCTCTCCACAACATTATTTTCCATCAAAAATACGTTTCTCACATTAACATTTATATCAAACGCAGAAAATTATCATACAATATGGTGAAGCAAGAACGTAAGATCCAAGTTACCACTTCCTCATCGTCACTGTCTCAGTCTTCTTCTACTTCTTCCTCCTCGTTGACATTGCAGCATCAATCTTATAAGAACAAGATAAAGAAATACAAAGGAGTAAGAATGAGAAGCTGGGGATCATGGGTCTCTGAGATTAGGGCACCAAATCAAAAGACAAGAATCTGGTTAGGTTCTTACTCAACCGCAGAAGCAGCTGCTAGGGCTTACGATGCTGCTCTCTTGTGTCTTAAAGGCCCTAAAGCCAATCTCAACTTCAATACTACTTCTCAGTTTCTTATTGACATCGATGAAAAGACTCCTTTGTCCCCCAAATCCATCCAAAAAGTCGCTGCTCAAGCAGCTAACTCCATCTCTTCTGACGCTTTTACCCCTGCCTCTTCCTCCATTGATGATCATCATGATGATGTTCTTCAAAACCATCCATCTCCTTCTTCTTCTTCTTCAGCAGCGTCTTCTCCGCAAGAGGACCATCATAATGATGATGATGATTTGGTATCGTTAATGGCATCATTCGTGGATCCATCATGGTATGATCATAATGAGATGTTCTTCAGCAACGGAGCTTTTGATTATTCTCCACAATTAATCAGCTCGAAGACAACGATGGATGACTTCTACGACGATGCTGATATTCAGCTATGGAGTTTCAGTTGATCGCACGGTCCATATTATTCTACGAAACACTTTCATTTCACATTATTTCATTCAATTTATTCTTTTAAATCTATCAATTATCTTTCCTCGTTGTTGCTTTCTTCAAGTTGCTTTGTTGCTCGAAACGAATTAACATGTAATTTTAAATATATATCAAATATACACACACTAATTTAAGTCGATCACATGAAGAAGAGGTCTTTTTGTCACTTCTTGACTTTTTCATGTTTCTTTTTGAGTTATTTTGTAGCACATATAATGGAGCCCCCACTCAATAAGAGAGTTGTAACTTTTATAAGTAGTTATGTAATTAAGTAGTACTTTACTATTTACATTTTTTTTTGTCGACAAAGTAATTCTTATTACATAAATATTCTTACCGTTTTATATTCAACTAAAACCGAGAGATTACATAACTTATAGGTATGATTCTTGCAGACTTGGCTAGATCATCAACCTCATCAAAGTCATGCTTATCGCCATAAAATTATAGTTATTATTAAAACATGTAAGACATATATAGCTGGGATATTAATTATTCAACAAGTGAATGATCTCTATTGTGGCTGAGGATATCATAAAAAGGATTTTGCGTCTCCACGAAATCCCAGCTTCATTATTTGTGTCACGGCTTCACGCAACACCAATGTTTTTTTTTTTGTCTCTTTATGGACTTGATATAGGATCTTTTGCTGCTGATGTTTCTACAAACTTTTTCCCATCATATTCCATGTTTAATTGCTTCTCCAATATCCAAGAGCCATCTACAAAGCAACATAAAGAGTTAGATTTACTTAAATAATTCTCTTATCGCTGTTGGAGTACTGTCTTTTACATTATTGCCTTGAGTTTGTCTTGTTTATTGAAAGACACATCATGAGGAACGGTTCCATTTCCGCTCGGTGTCACTAACAGACACTGCACTGCCTCTAGCAGCGCATAGGTCACAAGGACTCACCAAATAAGCAACGTTTTTCAAAGGCTTGAAATAGCCTCTTCGAGTTGAAATTCATTTCAAGTGTAGTTTAAATATTACTTTTGAAATCTATATATGCTGATACATTCTTTAAAATTACAATTCTGGTGATGATCCAAGTTTACAACAAGTGTTTGTTGTTACAACCAAAATCATTGTCGATGAATAAGAATCCAAACCACCACAAAACTGAGATCGAGTTGATTTGAGAAATGCTATTTTATATACTAATCAGAAGGAACGTGCATGTGTAACAATTTATGACTCTAGCGTTTTTGGATATTGACATGATACTGCACCAAAACTTATTTGTTGGATGATTTAAATACTAGAGTTACGGACTTACGATGACTAGCTATTTATCTCCCAACAAACAGAATCTTATTAAGCTAAAGAGTCTCTTTAAATTACTAGCAAGCAATATAATTCCATTAAAAAATTATTTATAGCTCTAGTTTAATCCTATCATCAGCTACCTAAACATTCAAAAATAGTTTATCATTTATTTGGTAACATTAAGTTATACATAAGTTATTTAGTACAATAAATGGAATTACTAGGTAGAAAAAATCACATGTAGGTGTACTATAATCTCATATGTAGCTTTCAGATGCATGCCACAACGATCAAGCTGATCTGTTCATATTTTTCAACGATAACTATATACACGCATACTATATCTATACTATTAAAACACAAGGCCCTTTTTTGAGATGCCTTTGGTTTTCAATAGTAATTACAGATTTATGCCACTGTATTATTTTTAGGCTATGATTTGTATCAATAGATTTTACCCGATGAAAATGGGTTTGACCCGATTCTATTAAATTGACAAAATCTTACGGTTGTTTAGTTGTAAACAAATATACACCGAATCCCTAAGAATATGGAACGACATCTATTTAGTTTGATTTTATATTTTTTTTTGCTTTAAATTTGTAATTAAAGTTACGTATAGTAGAAGTTTATAAATTAAAAATTTCAGGATTTCTATGTACAGATTCCATTGATATTTTTAATTGCTTTGGTTATCATTATATATTAAATCAAATCATATCACACGGGTCCCTCCTGTTTGACCCGTTGCAGGATAGATGCGGGGCGATCAATTTGAGAAAAGTAAGTTGCGGATGCGGATATAAATTAAGTGTATTTTATTCGGATGGGATACGGGTTGGTTTTATTTATATCGCGGATACACGCTAATCCACAAAGATAGAAAAAACAATTTCCTAAAAATGGGTTATTTTTTTAAAAATATAATAATTTTAGGTAAAATGAATTAAAAATAAAAAATAAAAAACTAATTAAAAAAAATATTAACCATATTTTAAAAAAATAATTATTTATATTATTTAATAATTATCTACGGGCCATGCAGGTTATCTGTAAATTTAAGTGAAGTGAGTCAAATAAATATATTTTCTTTGCGGGTTAGAAATGTTAAAAACATTAGTCAAAAAATAAAACAACTGCATGAAGGGTCGAACGGGACGGGTTTGGCCCGCT